ATAACAATGCACAATAGTAAAACAAGCAACAACACCATTGCATTAATAGAATAGTTAATACATGTGTGTTATGTGTATATTTGTAAGACACCAAAAGTATATCAAAATAAAAGACGAGTCTTAAACATGCTCCGTCTTCTCAAAACCTGGTCCAGTGTACCTGTCTACTGGTTACCTGAGAATACAAGTTATTTTGAAAGAGAGTATCAACATTTAAGTTGGTGAATTCATAAGTGTTTTAGTGTCAAATGTTTGTAGTTGTTTCATGAAATTTTGTATATGTATAGAAAAATGTTTGTAACTGTCTACTGAAAATGTTTGAATACTTCCCAGAAAATCCTTTATTTCCTGCTTAAATGAAAAGTAGTCTTCTACCAAGACTCAACTGTTTTGTATGTTCTGTTCTCTTGAAAATAGTGTAAAATGTATGTTTGTACTTGAAATAGTATAAATGTATGTTTTTCCATATTTGTAAAACTATCTTTACTCGAAAAATAGTATGCATTTCTCATGAGAGAATATCACTGTATGAATGTAAATGGAAAATGAAGGTTTTCAGTAGAATTATGTAAGATACACTACTGATGCATTAACTACCTTGTAACCAAACTGGTTAATTTAAGGTTAAAATGTGATTAAGGTTATAACCATGCTTGATTGACTAGTATAAAACACGACGTTCTTCAGGCATCGAAAATGATATGACATTTGTCACCCGTAGACTTGCAGGTCCCACTGTAGCTAGCAGCAAGGTGTGGGATGGTCAATCCCGTATAGATCTATACATAAACTCACACTCTCCCTCCAGGAGACTCTGGTTATAAAACGTGACATAGCAAGAATATTGATATATCATGAAATAGTATCTCACATTTTAGTTATCTTGTTCTTGTTATAGTATGTATGTATTGACTCATGTATGTTTCTCTGATCTAGAAATAGTATGTAGTGATCCTCTAAACTATACCTATTATAGTTTACTAGTATGTTTGTTTGAACTGTTACTGATTTATAGAAAAGACTCAATTGTTCAAACATAAGCAATTGAATTAAGTATGTTCCTTAAAATGGGATTTAATATTCATGTATGTATTCAATAAGTATAACTATGATTTAGCTGACAGTCGGACTAGTGATCCTACCCTAAGCCCACAACCAAACAAGGAACAGGAGTTACGGTATTTAGCAATAGTCTTAAGTCCGTTAAAGCATACTTATACATAAATAGATACACAAACATGATTTTGATAAAAACAGTAATCTAAGAATAGTTTTAAAATGGTTTTAACAAGTGTTTGAGTATAAGTAATCCTTTTGTTTGATGTTTTCACATGTAAGTGGTTAACACAATTATATTGTGTTCTACTTGTATTCTCCCCCTAAAAAGCATTTAAAACTGTAATTTGTAGGGGTATGAACTCACCTCAAGTGAGTGATTCGATTGAATGTTCGATATAGGATGATAAGTTTCCCGAGTTAGATCTCGAGACAAAACAAGTCCTAAAATGCACATCACATAGTATATAGGCATACGATTAGTGAATATAACCTCTAAGGCATTAAGGGAACAACCTAGGATGTAAGGAACACTTACAAAAGAAGTGTTAGAAGCAAAATGGAAGGCTGTAAGGTGTTTACGGCCAGGAGAGGGTGTTCATGGCCCAAGAACACTTGATGTTCTTGAGTTTATGGCCCAAATCTGGGTGTTCACGGCCCAATGTTCTTGACGAATGATGAACACTTGAAGATCCTAAGCAAGTTTCCTTGAAGATTAAGGGAAGAAGGATGATATTTGAGAGGGCAATGGGGTGTTTTCGGTTGAAGATCTAGAAAGAAAAGAGATGTGTTTATGGCCAGAGGTGGAGAAGTGAGGTAAAATCAGTCAACACTTAAATATATAGGGGGAAGTTCACGGCCGTAAACCGAGGGTTCATGGCCCGAAGGCTTGTTCACGGCCCGAAGGCGTGTTCACGGTCCGAAGGCTCGTTCACGGTCCATGCAAGGTTTGCGGTCCTCGGTTCCAAAGGCTATCCCTCCAAAACACACTACACCTAAGAATGCTAGGTTTATACACCTATAAATTTATTACCCTAACTATATTAAGATAATAAAAGAAATAATTTTGACCTTTGATTGATATGTTTGACTTTCGTTGACCAAATTTGACTTTTTACAATATAGAAATTACGGGTTGTCACAGTTTAGGATGAGGGGCATACTCCTGAAGTCAATAGATTCAATCGGGAGTAATAGAGATTATGAATGTGCTGTTAGATGGCTTCTTCATTTTTGGTCGGTGGTTTGATTGTTTTGACCTTGAGGTGTACTTCTCTTGGATATGCTCATCCTTGGAGGCTTGTTGTTGTTCTTTATATGTTGCTTCAGATGTTGACCATTTTACCCCTATAATTATAGGAACAGACTAGTCTTTTTGCTTTTTCATTTGCTCTGCTTTCATGTTTTCTTCGTGCATTGCTTTTTAATACATATAGATCCATTGTTGCTTGATCTGATTTGGATTATTTGCTTGAAAAATCAATTTACAAGTACTTAATTATGATTTAGATTGGTTTCAGATTCCTGCTTACCTATATAGATGGTCTTCGATTCTTCTTACAAATCTTTTTTAGTTTGGTTCTGACTTGTGTGATCCCCTCAACAATGCTATAAAAATGATCCTTATTGGCAGTTGATGATTTATGAATGTCTTGGGAATTTTTTTGGCTTTTGACTCCTAATTCATTGGTGTTGGTGCCAAGTTTTAATGCCTCATATACAAAGCTCCTTCCTATAAAGCACACTTTGGTGGTTTTTTAATTTTGCTCCAGGCTTTGACCATTTTACCCTTAGGGATTATTCAGTTCTGATGTATGTTCCCTGGAGCTGTTGTGTATAGAGTTAAAGGAATTATGGATGTCTAATTCCATTTACAATGTTAATTCATGGAGCCTGATGTATTTTTCCTACCATTGACCACTTTACCTCTATTATTGTGCTGAAATGTTAAGTTACCTGCATAAAATTCATTTTGCAGTGTTCAGGTTATAGGTCTACTTCTCTTTGGTTTGTGACTTGACCATTTTACCCATGGGGGTATGCGTATAGTTGTATCATGTATGTGTGTAACTCATTTGTATCTTTTAGTGATAAATTAAATTCTAATCCGAAAAAAGTTAATAATTTGTGGAAAAATGATCATTATTTGATATGCTTACAGTCAAATTAATAGTTTTGTTTTTTTTAAATAATTTATAAAAATACGTACTATTTTATTTTTATTATATTAAATGACTTTATTTATTTGTTTTTTTTCAACTATTAATACATACTTAATTATATATTAGCTAATAATAATAATCCTACCTAATAAATAGAGATCTTATTGTCATATGTCATCTTCTCCTTTAATTTGTCACATGTAATTTTCTCATAATTTTTGATTTATTTGTTTTCCACATGTAATTTGCTTATTGGTTCCATTTTATTTTTAGTGAAAATCATTGATTTAATTAATTCAATTCATTCTTAAAATAAGTTATAATAAATTCCATTTATGGATTCGTTACTTGCTTCTACAAACATGGTTTTGTTTTCCTTTTTTATTTTCATTATTTACATAAAAGTAATTTTTTTCAATGTAAACTTATTTTTACATAAATTTGTATTACTTTGGATTCATTTACATACTGATTCATCAAAGCTTTATATATATATATATATATATATATATATATATATATATATATATATATATATATATATATATATATATATATATATATATAATTATTACTTTTCAAATTGCCTAAGGTTTATAAGTTTATATTTTTTTTAATAAACCCGTGTAATACACGAGTCTCACACCTAGTATAAGAATAAATCTAAACATAGTGCGTTAATAATGGTTAACAAATATTTTGACTCGTTATTTTTTCTACAAATTGTTATTTTTTTTGGCAAAAACTAATTTACATAAATTCAATAACATATGAGTTTCAACCATTCCTTATATATCTGAAATCATCACCATGTATAAACCCCTGTATATTAGTTTTTCCGGATATATATCTACTCATTAATTGTATGTTATTAAAAATATATAAGTTTTAAAACAATAAAACTATATAAAATATAAAATTAAATATTCAAATTTTTAATTCCCTCTCACAAATCCCGGCCAAAATAAATCTTCCTATATCCACTCCATTAAAACCGTTTCCCCGTTAATTAGGCCTAAATTTCCCACGTCAAGGAGAAGTCCGGTGGTGTACGTCTGTGCTCGTCCTCATTTCCTCTCGTCTTTCAGGTCTGTTCGGTGCTTCCCTCATGTATTCCATTCCATGTGTTTTTTCTTTTATTCTTCCATTTTCTTCCTAATCTTCATCTTTTATAACTATCAGTAACAGTAAAATCAATTATGGAGTTTTACTTGTGTTTCTGCAATTTCTACAATTATATGATTGACCTTCTCCAATTTCTACAACTATATTTCGATGTTTTTGGTTGTTACATTATTATACGAAGTTGTGTTAGATTATGGCAGGATTGCATCTGATTGGTATAGATATACACCTATTTCAAGGATTACATCAGCCATACTTCCTGATTTTACCAAGATTTTTATTACTTTCGGTATAACCTAGTTGTTTATGTGTAAACCTTGCCTCCTATGTCATCTTCTACAAACATTTATTCCAACCACTACATACCTAATCGTAAAATCAACACAATGAAATGGTCTCATGTGATGTTTCATTATGTTATTATATGTATACCTCGAACTCTTCTCAGCTTATACTTGATGCATATCTTTAGAGTTGATATTTTGAAAATTATTTGTTGGAATTTAAGGGTAAAATGAATACATACCAACTCTTATAATGTTCCACTTTTAATTTTCTTATATCACGGGAAAGATGTCTCATTTCCCATTGAAAGGAGCTCTAACAAGGCCACATAAGAATATGCATGGGCTGTTAGAAAGGCGTACTAATGTACATCTACACTACACCTGCATTGTCATCGTCGTCGGTCCCACCATTTCGTACTATATCAACGCTAGCATCCACCCCCGCCTCCACACCGAACATCAGGCCAACAATGTCTAACTGCCTACTGTTTAGTACCGTATCAGCCCCACAATCCAAAACTTCATCGACACCAACACCATCGTCTGCCTCAGGATCGACACCAACATTCACACCGACAACATCGACCCCACCAATAATTAAGAAATCATTCCTAGATAAAGTGGATGAAAATGGATAAAAGTGGGTAACTTTAAGTGAAAAGGCAAAACAGTTTTATCGGGAAGAGTTTCAGGTAGATTATTTATTATTATATTTTTTTGCAATTATTAAGCACATTGTTCACTTATATCTCCATTGTTGTTTTGTATTCTAGAAAAAATGTCAGTGGGATGTTGCAGTTGGTGACTCGGTCAAGGATGCTTAGTCAAGGGGTCTTGGGCTTGGATCATATAGCAGATCCATTTTTCTTGAAAACTGTTCTCAAACATGCATTTCACCGGATTCATGTTCTGAAAAACATCATCTTGAGACGAAGATCCAGAACTAGAGGAAACCATAAAGCAACAAAGGATTGAGTTGAATGACGTGAGAAACATGGTCAATGATATGAGAAGCACAAATATTTATTCAATACATGTTTAAGATTTCTAGTTGAGTTTGACTATTAGATTAATTTGATTGGTATTTTAGACAAAGCAACATTTCATTTGATGATAAACTATTTTACTAAGAATTTATGTAAGTTCTTTAATTGTTTATTACTCATAATGTTGATTTTGTGATAAATTTGTTTTGGAAAAAAATTTAGTCATTTTTGTACGTGTTTGAACTAATCCTGCCACCAATTTTTGCTACTAACATTTTTACAAATTTACTACATATATTTTTACATAGTTATTATGTAGTTGAATTGCTATGGTATTTATTCTGTCACAATTTTCTGCAACAGAAGTAAGTCGTGGTAAATTTACTACGAAATATTTGCAACGAAAGTAGATTGTAGTAAATTTACTACGAAGTTAGATCGTAGAAAATTCACTACGAAGTTAGATCGTAGAAAATTCACTACGAAGTATTTGCTACGACATTATACGTAGTGGATTTTCTATGGAAATCAGCTACGAGGTTAGTTTGTAGTTAATTTGCGACGTATTAACTACGGATCGGGTCGTAGTTAATTTGTTGGGGACTTGCTATGGAAAACAATTGTAGTTAATTTACTACGACGTTAATACAGATGTAGCCCATAGCTATTTTGCTACATAATAAGTATGTTGCAAATTCTGTTGTGAAAGTCCTACGGATTCCGTAACAAACCTTTACTAACGAAGAATTTTGCTACATAATGGTTCCGTAGCAAATTCCATCTCTAAACATGTTTAGCTACGAAATATCATGTTTTAGCTACAGATTTTTTCCGTAGTTATTTCGATTTTTTCTTGTAGTGTATTTTACCCACCAATGATCAATTTGCAAGAGTTGGAAAGATTAAAACAACCATAGAAGGGAAAGCATAACAACCTTTGAAGACTTTGATCCTCATGGGAGGTTGGAAGTTGATGAAGTGTGGCATGAAACTTTAAAGCAAGAGTTCTCTACAAGTATCCACCAAGCAAGAGTAGAACCATCAAAACATACTAGTATTCACTTGTAATTTGTTGTTCATAAGCCTTTGAAATATATACCAAATATATGTTCAAAGGTGAAGCAACAAAGGGTCTTTGTCTAGCATCAAAATGTAAGAGAATGGAGGAGAAGAAGAGCTTGTAAAGCTCGAAATTTGGCAGCCCTTTGGAGCCCCTCATGCTCACGGTTTTTCCTTCAAAAGAAGAGAGAAAAACTTATGCAAGAACTTGTAACAAAACCCTTTCCATGCTCTCCCTTGTATAATGACCAAAAAGCAAAGGGATACCATAAAGCAAAAGGAGCATGGGACATGCTTCTTACAAGCATGGTAGAATTGATTAAACAATTCAAAAGAATATCATGCTTGGTCTCTTCTCATATTTCGAAAAAGGTAAGCCACAAAGAAGACAAAAGTTGTCTTATGGCTATTTTATATACACATAAATGTTATCTTTATAAAAAACAATCTTATTTATAAAGAATTCTCAACATATATATCTATATAAATAGTCATATATAAATATCTTATTTTATATAAAACTATCTTTTATATAAATTGTAACTAGCTTATTTTATATAAAACTACCTTCTATATAAATTGAACTAGTTTATTAAGATATAAATATAACTTATAAATAATCATAATTTATGATATATTTCATAAGTTGTTACTTCTCCAATAAATATTATTTCCACAAATAATAAATTCCCAATTAATAAATTCCCAATTAGTAAAATATTATTTTCATGAAATAATAATTTTCCAATTAAATACAAGTGTTGACATATTTATTAATAATCAAATTATACTAATAAATAATCAATTGATGGTAACTTGCTATACAGTGTGACCTTATAGGATCATATATTATTAACAATATCTTTCTATAATGACTCTTAGGCATACTAGATCTTTCAGTTTATTATCTATATTATTTATATAATAAATGTGGTAATCATCTACAGATAAATATTACATTTGTGATGCCTTATACACCAACATCCTTGGATTTATGGCTCCCTACCGTAATATTAGGTATTGGTTAGCCGTTTTTCGAAGAAACATAGCTTTACTAAGGAAGAAAGGTTCAATCATACTCATGCACAACTTAAAAATATTATTGATCGTGCTTATTGTGTATTGAATGCGAGACTTTCAATCTTAAAACAAACGGCTCCTTATCATTTTCCAATGTAAAGAGACATAGTCATTGTTTGTGTTGCGGTCCATAATTTTATAAAGAAATACAATATTCACCATGATTTATTTATAAACTTTGAACAAAACATTATGGTTACTCCTAACGTGGAAGGTGGAGGAAGTGAAGGCCAAAACAAGACATAAAATGTGGTTCATAAGCCATTAACTATATGACTACTTTGTGTGACGAGATTACTAATCAATTACTTTTAAATGGTTAACGTTAAATTTGTATGCAATTTCTTTGATTTTGTTATAACAATTTATATTTGGATTTTAAATGATGTATATTTAATTTAGATTTTATGTGATAGTTTGTATTTTTATAATTATTTTATCCAACACAAGAGACAACGTAAAAGTAATATAGTCATTTTCATCATTCAACATAATCAAAGAAATAATGAGACAACATAACTCAATCAGATGTGAACTCAGTAAGCAACTATCAAACGACTCCTTAACTATAATGTTTAATTTTATATAATTCAAAAAGATCGACTTAAAAGAGATAATAAAGTTTCTCGTTAGTTCTCATCTTTGTAGAAACGATTATTTTCTTTTTTTCTTCCATCTTCTAAATATTATTTTGCTACAGTTTATCTAATGAAAAAAAAAATAACAATGCTTTAGGTGGGTAGGCAGTGGTCAAAGGTGAAGCAAAAGCAGCATCTTCAAGGGTATTGTTATTCAACGCAACGGGTGTGAGAATTTGAATACGTATGTGGTAAATAATGCAATGAAGCTAATCACTGCGTCATTACTTACTTATGAAGAAATTAAAATTCCATATTTACATAGTGGCATATCAATCAAATGATGATATGAAGAGAAATTACATACAGGGAGGGGAATGGAATCCTACAAGTTAGTCTCCAGGAATGCTTGAATTGCCAAACCCGCCGCCCAAACATCATCTTCTAATACATGCTCTTCTGGGGAATGACTAATCCCTCCACGACACCTAACAAATAGCATACCAACCTATCCAACAAAAACAGACAGACCAAACCCCATCACGTCAGATTTATTTTATATTTTTTTTTTCTTCTCTTTAATAATGAAATGAAGGACAAGACTGGGTTGATGTCAACAGAATAGAAACTGCAAATCTTTGTCTCCCCCAAAGCTCAAAAAAGGTTAGAAAGGGACTGACACTCAATATTTCATCTATGTAAAAGACGCAAATACCCTCTCTCGTATATGTACAAATGGACAAAAACTGCCCCACCCAAAAAAGTGAAACAAGGTGGGATAGGACTCGACATTAATGCCCTCATCATTGGAAACATCCCAACAAAGCTTGTCCAGTCCCATCCCACTCCATTCCGAATAACAAAAGCAGCAGCCTTGTTACAAAAGATTGAACGGGACCAGAGAACAGACAAGAAAATCTAGGGATATATTCGATGATGAGGATGAGGATGCGGAGGGCATTTAGGTCTTTTGCACAAACGAGAGAGATCGAGAGGGAGTCCCTTTCCCAACTTGTGTCACCATTTTGGATTGGTCATTGGAGAAGAAAAAGTTAGAAATTGTGTCCTCTAATGACTGTTGTTGTTAAGTGGAGATGAAACCTTGGTCAAATGAGACATGGCCATTGCATCATGGCCTGCACCACTCATGAGTACTGGCACATCACCAATATCTTCACCCGCCATTCGCTTCAAAGCAGTGTAGGCAGCAGATTTCAGCTGTGAATTTAATCCGCCATCACAATTTACAGCATCTGCATCATGCTGAACACAATTCACAATAACAAGTTATTTATGCTACATGTGTGTCAGGGAAAGGGAAGAAAGTAGAAAATGCACCTTACGGTCCAGGAAACAAGAAACAGAACGACCATCACATATTCTATGCATCTGATTTGACAATTCGTATATGATGGCCTCCCTTCCTATGTCATCTATAGTACGGATATCTATAGTAAATGATACCTGAAAACGTAATCATGTTATTATTATAAGGGTTAAATGCAAGAAATAGCAATGTACTTTCATCGCTTCTTTTATTATAGCATCCTACTTTATTTTTTTTTTCTACTATAGCATCATCCAAATACAAACTACAAAGCAATTTTCAATGCTATAATATGGCAGATTTTTTGAAGTAAAATCGTGTATTATAATATACAAATAAGTAAAGGTAAGGTAAGTCTTATGATTATTGTTATTATAATACGCAAACGCACCTGGCCTGGTATGACATTACTTGCACTGGGCCAGGTTGATATCTCACCAACTGTACAAACAAGTGATCCTGAAAGGGATTCAATGGAGAAGGCATTGCAGTGTCCATTACTTGAAATAAAATCCTGTGGGTGTTTACATAGGCTTTCTAATAATACAATCAATTCAGCTGCAGCAACCATAGGGTCTTGGCGCATAGACATGGGAACTGTTCCAGCATGTCCTTGTGATCCTCTCACTGTCAGCTGCAATTATGCATATAAACTTTATCTTTTAATTTCACAAAACAATTAACAAACCTCCCCCTTATTCCTTATAAATATATCACATATACTTCTAAAGGCCAAGTCCAACGCATCACTACGGCTGTTCACTATTTGGATAAAACCACGAAATGTCCAATTGGACAATTTGGATCAGACTACTTGGTTCGGATATTCAGATTTTTGGATTGGTTTCAACAAAACCGAATTATTATTTTGGATTTCGGATTGGTGTTGGTTTATAAAATAAGAACCAAATAGTAAAAAAAACAGAATAATTTATTATTTATTTTTAATATATATCATTAACCATTTATATATTTAATAAAATAAAAAATTTAATAGATTAGAAAATTTCATCCAATATAATACCTTAAGAAGTACTTGTTAAAAGTTTTTTGTCTATGAAATATCAAATATTATTATCATTATCCTATCAACATAAAATTTAAATATATATATATATATATATATATATAATTTTAGCTTAAAATACAACAAAGAATGTTATGTTAAAAACATAATTTTTTTTTTAATACAAAAATATAGGTATCATAATTAAATATCTATAATTTTCAATTTTCAATAAATAGTTCTGATAAACATTTCGAGAGAGAATACAAATATTATAATTTATAATTTTGACTCGTTGACATTAGTACGAGGCGCAATTCAGTACATGCAAATTGCATTTGCACGATAGACTATAAAATATCAATGATAAGTATACCTTTAACCGTGTCTGTCCAGCAATACCTTTTACCACAGCAAGAGGAAGACCAATTGATTCAAGTACAGGTCCCTGTTCGATGTGAACCTACACATTTCATTAATACATTAACAACAATAAATCATAAATGCCCAAAATGCTTTTAACATCTAAGCATCATAATCTGATGTAGGAAACACTTTATTTTTGGGCTACAAAATTGGAATGCAAGTTAGGGTTTATTGATTTTGTTGGTTTAACCAAAAAAAAAAAGTCCCAACTCCTCTCACGTTTAAAACGATGAATATTATGAAAATAGTTTGTCAAAATCGAAAGGTAAAATGGTCATTTAGTCTCATTCAGATGGTTTATTGGGTCTAGAAAAGAATTTATCCCGAATACAGGAGTTGATGGGAAAAACACGACCCCTTTTTTTCAATTTTCATTACCTTGTCCATTCCATTCCATCCAATAAAAAAATAACGAATTTTTCAATATGAATAGCTGTTGGATTTGTATAGAATTTAGAATTTATTTACCTCCACATAGCCCAAAACAGACTCAGGTTCATATTTGATCTGACTCAGGTTTTCTTCTGTAGTGTCTATCAAGTTCTCTTTTAAAACATTTTGCACTGTCAAGCCACTGAAATTTTTTTCTGTAAGTTTCACTTAGGATTCAGACACATGACAACAGTACTAGTAAATCATCACTCTACCTTTTGTCAGGTACCTGCAATGTCGAAGCAGGAAGTACCCCTGCAAGAGCTGCACTTCCTAGAAATGTAGATTGAAATCTAACTCCTTCTTCATCACTAAACGCAATTACCTGCAGTATCTCAAGTCTAAGAATCACAAACACCAAAGCCTTGATACTTTTCAACAAGAAAGAACATGCATTCTTTTTTTTTTATTCATATCCTCCTCTTACAGCATTGTATTTTGAACAATCTACCCAATTATAGCAATGTCATCCACATACAAAGCAACTTTCATTGCTATTATTATTTGGATTTTTCAAAGTACCATGTCCTAATAAGAAAAAAAAAACTTGAAAGTACAATGCTATATTAGACCCAAAAACACAAGCTACCTATGCTTCACATGACTTATAAATCATAAATGCCCAAAATGTTTTTAACATCTAAGCATTAAGCACATGTTCTTTTTAGTTAGACCTGCTGAATTATATGTTCATATCGGACATTAACATATATATATATATATATATATATATATATATATATATATAACCTTAGTATAACATTCACACAAGGTAAACGGCTAAATGCATAACATAGCAATGTACTTTCGTTTATTTGTGTATTATAGCATCCTAATTTTAAATCCCTCCACTACAACATTGTACTTGTAATTTTGTTTTATTGTACTTTGTGAAATCTAGCATATTATGTTGAACATTTTCGGACATTATACTTTAAAAAACCAACCCAATTATAGCAGTGCAGCATTGCTATAATTGGGTAGATTTTCAAAGTATAATGTTGGAATGGGAAGAAGAGAAAGTATGATGCTATAATAAACAAAGTAAAGTAGGTTGATATTTCTTGCATTTAACCCACAAAAGAAAAAATATAAAAATTTGAACTTACTTCAACCGGATGTTGTAGATGCCTTGACCTTCCTGTTACATTTAACACCTTTAAAGCTGATATAGCCGATATTATGCCAAGAGTTCCATCAAACATACCAGCATCAACAACAGTATCCTGTTGAGAAGAGGAAAAACAACTCCACCACTTAGGAACAGAAATACTTAAGATAGAAAAGGGCAAACCATTACATCATCAACCTTAAACCTAAAAAAAAAAAATAATATGGAAAAATTATTTGTATAAAAGCTATTGGTATATAATTTTTTGTCATTTCAGCCAGCATTACTAACCTACAAAACCCGGTTAGCAAGTTTGATTTGCTTACATGAACAATTTTTTTATGAGGTGGCATCTGATGTCCACATAAGCATGTGTTATACTTATGGACACTTAAAAACAACAGTTTTTGACACTTTTACACATGTATGTGGCCATGTCAGATGCCAACTCATTGAAAAATATCCAAGTGAGAAATCAAACCTGATAAGCTGCTTTTTTAGGTCAATAATGGCTGAAATGAAGAGAAAAAGTGAATAAATATATTTTATGCAACATAATGGCTTTTTAGGTAAAAAGCTGATAATGTAATTTTTCCTAAAACGTTAAAATCTTGTTATTAATAAGTATTAAGGTGATTACTCACCAAATGAGAACCGATTAGAAGAGCCTTGTTGCTAGCATTTGGTGGTTGAACTCTACCATGCACATTCCCCAATCCATCCACCCACCTGGAAATGGAAATGGAAATTAATGGTGGTCTTAGTAGAAGAGATGTTTCTCAAAATATTAGGACCCCAAAAAGAAAAAGGTGGGGGTGGGGGTGGGATATCTATGGAAAAGAGGTAAATGGCCTCCTCATCCACATCACTGAAAGTAGCCCTAAAAAGTTTGTCAAGTCCCGTGTAGCAAGTAAGATGAGTGAACAGAATCTCTCACGTTGTCAAACCAGCATCCTCCATCCACGTTCTGATAAGATTCCCAGCCCTGATGGAAGCTGGGCTCAAGAAAGTCCTCTCCAGATAGCCATGCCCATCACTTACCTAATAGTTCATCAGTAAAAATACAAATCTCATGAGCCCATCAAAGCTATTATCTCTTTTCAAGTATCCAAGCAATCATTTTTTTTTTGTAAAAAGAAAGAGAAAAAACAATCAAGTCTTTATAAAAGATGTAATTTCTTCATATGTAATACCAACAACAAACCTCATGACTCTGTTTACACAACACATTTTCTTAAAGCGGGAGGTAAATTCACACAGCAACAGCGGTGTTCCCTCTGCTGCATGAGGAACATACCACTCACTATCATTTTTAAATGTCCCATGAGAGTTTCAACATATTCTTTTATCATAAGTTTTCAAGAGAATATTTATTACTATTCGACAATTATCGCTGTTACAAAAAGATGATGTTATGATTTGGATCAAGAAGATTCAATTCATCTCTCATTATGCATAAATTTTCAACCAATATTTTGTAAAGTATATTTTTATCCTTCATATAATACAACTATTTAATACAAGAATTGACAAGGTGGTTAAGAATTAGCACAGTTAATGAAGACTATGATTCTCCATATACATACAGCAACATGGTTTTCAAGACCGCCTAGGACTTGAAGTAAAGAAGACAAATCAGAATTGAAGACATTTACCTTTCCCAGCTCATAAATTCTTGCTACGGCCTCATCTCTTAGAATTTCAGGAAACAAATCATTCTTGGGACCTTCAATATATTCAACACAGGGTAATATAAGGGGAATATTGCAAATCATATATCAAGCCTTACTCAATAAAACTGTACTTCTTATATCCCTAAAAGCTTTCTTACCCTTTAACCCTCAATCAATCAAGCAAAAAGAATGAATATTAGAATAAAAATTAGTTAGAACCTATATTATATCCCTAAGTATCCTCCTTCACAAAGCAAACTTGATCAAAACATAGTTATAGTATAATAATTTCTTCCGTTAATTTGAAACCTCTTCATCTCAGTTTCCGTGACAGTTAGTACAAAAAAATTCTTCCAGGAATCATCTAACCTAAAACAACTGCTTTTGATTATCAGAACAGTATTTGATGCTAGGTGTAATTTATAGTTGAAAATCACAGCAAAAAGCGTACAAAATCCATTTCTGTTGAAAATAAGCTGATTCGATATTTGAAAAGTGAAGATCAATAAAATCAGTTAAACGCGACAACGATTCAGAACACCAACACATGAAATGTCAAAAATGAGATTTTGAATGGAGTTAGACTTACTGAAAACGATGATAACCAGAAGCAATTAAAAATATTAGATGTAGTTAATCCAAATAGCATAAAACCGGAGGAAGATAAATTTTGAAAAAGAGATGAAAATCTACCGTCGGAGATGTGCGTAGAACTGTCAGCCGATGAGATAGAAAGCAAAAGGATAACGATGCGGAAAAGTGGGAAAACACACGGAATCAATTTGGAAGAATTATAGAGTTCGTTAATTGCAGAGTGAGACGCCATGGCTGTGGCTGCAAGCGAGCAAGCAGAGAAGCAAGCAAGCTGGCTGGCTGCTGGCCACGCAACTCTCTGAAATGACTCTACTCTACTGCTTTTGCCCGTGGATTACTATCACAGCCAGCCCACCACCTCCACCACTTTATGGACAAGGGATAAAATTTCAAGAAAACCCATCAAGTTTAATAAATTCCATATTTCACCACAAAAGAAAACTTTTTTTAAGGTCGCATGCTAGTAAATTCCATATACCATGTACAATAATGTTGTTGGAGAAATTACTCTGAATAATATCGTAGATTAGAGAAATTCCTTTGAATAATATCCAACGTGTGATTGTGATGTGTGATTGTGTGGAGCAAATTGGTGGAGCAAATTAGTGAAATGGTCTGTATTTTTATAGATTTATGGGAGAATGGAAAGCATTTAAAAACGGTTCGACATATAAAAGTATGGAGTCCGGGAACATGTATTAGAAAGTTCACGATGGACCGTAACATTATGGCAAACAACCAGTGGGGGATTGACTTAAACAGTCATACCAAAATGTTTATATTCAAGGCTTTGAATTCAACATTTTGTGTATTTTATCGGCATTTTTTGTTTTATTTATATTTTTTTATTATAGTGATCGCTATGGGTCTCCCAAGTGCACTGCTGATAGACCTATGTTGCCTCCCCTAACGTCGTTAAAGAGATATGAACACCCCCCCCCCCCCTTCAATGTCAGTTTCTTCCCGTTGCCACTCCAACGCCACTCAACGCTCGTTTTTCTCTTCTCCCTCTCTGTTTTTCATCTTTCTTGGCTTCACGACTGTGTTTTCATGGACAAACACCATCCCCGTCATTGAGGGCTCGATGATGATGTGGCACCGTGGTAACGGGTACCCATACCGAGCAGTCTTAGGTAAATTGGAAGCTTGTCTAATTATGCCAATAATGTTAAGTTTTTTTCGAACCTGCAGTTGGTAACCATAATTTTATTATATCCCATTTATTTTATGCCAGATGATGTTATTTTTTTGGGTGACTGGTCTCAAGAAAATATGGATAATGTGGTGCGTATTCTTCATTTTTTTCACCTGACTTCGGGCCTTCGTCTAAATTTACACAAGTCTAATTTGTTTGGGTTGGGGGTAAATGATGATGAGGTCACTCTGTTGGTAGAGGGGACTGGTTGCAAGGCGGGTAAATTTCCTTCTGTTTACCTTGGTATTCTCGTTGCTGAGAACATGGCTAGAGTTGCAGGGTGGACATTAATTATTCAGAAATTTGAGGAAAGATTTGCCAAATGGAAAATTCCTTTACTTTCTATTGGAACAAGATTAATGCTTTTAAAGGTTGTTTTAGGCTCTCTAATGATTTATTTCTTCTTTATTTTCCTTCTGCCAGCTAGTTCTAAAAAAAACCTGGAGAGTTTGAGGTCTCGTTTTTTTTGGGGTTTTGATGCTGATGTAAAGAAAATTCCTTGGGTGAAATGGGATCTCGTTATGGCCTCTAGAGATAAAGGAGGTTTAGACATTGGTAGCTTGGGGAATTCTAATCATGCTCTTCTCCAAAAATGGTGATGGGCATATCTTACTGATAAGGGTTCTTTGTGGGTTAAAGTAATTAATTTGGTTCATAATAAACAAAATGGGGTTCGTTTTGGTGATTCCTTGGGGCATAGTTCGGGTGTGTGGGCCAGGATCTTGAAATCGTTTAATTATATATATTGGGCAGGTGTTATCCCTCATAGTACGGATATTCGAGTTCTTGGTGATGGTTTCTCGATTCGCTTTTGGTATGATATATGGAATAGAAATATGTCGTTGAAACAAAGATTCCCACGTCTTTTCTCTTTAGACCTGAATAAAGATTGTTTCATCTCGGATCATATGCATGAGGGTGGTTGGCAGTGGGAGTGGAGGCATGACATAAGAGGAGGGTTGGAATCTCATCAACTCATGGAATTGAATTCTCTGATTGAGAATGTTACTTTTAGTTCCCATGCAGATTCGTGGAGTTGGTGTTTGAATAACACGGGAGTCTTTTTGGTTTCTAATGTTAGGAAAGCTCTTGATGACTTTTTCCTTCCTACATCAAATTCTGGAATGAGATGGAACACTTTTGCACCAAGAAAAGCCAATATTTTCATTTAGAGGTTGATGTTAAATCGGTTTCCTGTAAGACAATCTCTAGTTGATAAAGGAATTGATGTTCCTTCGGTCAATTTTCCTGTTTGTAATGGAGATCCAGAAACTGCTTCTCATTTGTTCTTGTTTTGCAACCTAGCTACTCAAATATGGCATAATATCTTCAGATGGTTGGAGCGGTTATTTGTGCCTATGACATCGATCTCTCAGATTTTTTTGTGGTTGGATTCGCAGCCTTTATCGAGTGGTAAGAAGAAAATGGTGGATCTAATTTTAATTTCTACGCTTTGGGTGTTATGGTGTTATCGGAATGATGTGGTTTTTGGAGGAAAGAAATACCAAAGACAGACGATTTTTAATTATATTAGGGATCTTTCTTTTTTCTTGATACAAGTCTAGGAATCAAAAATGTAATATATCCTGGGTTGAGTGGTTGCAAAATCCTCTCAACGCATTTCTAGTGTAATTGTACTTTTTCCTCTAGTTTCTTGCTAGAGGCATTTTGTTTTTTAATATCATTCAGTCGTTCAAAAAAAGTTACTTTAATATTTTCGAATATTGGTGGTACTTGTAGAAAATAGAACCACCCTATAAAAATATAATTACTTTTAGCTTTAAATTCGTAATATCATTATGAGCTTTTCATGTTAAAAAATGGTAAAATGCATTATCGGTGGCCTATGTTACTCCGTCATGAAAAATCAATCGCATAACAATAACAATATTTTGGGCAATGTTTAAACATTGGACCTCTGTATGTAATTTATCCACTTCAACTACTAGACTCTTATCACTTAAATAAATTTTCTCATATTACGTGAAAAAATACTCTCTTTTATTATTTTAGTGATGTGTCTTCATATAAGTGTGCACCAATTATTAGTGGCTATGTGAATGTGAAGTTGATCAAATACAAGTATCTAACTCTAAACTAAAGTTTTAAAGTCTAAAAAACATCGTTGAGAATAAAATATATTTATGCAATACATTAGACATGGTATATGCTAATCAAGGTTCTAAATGGCGTAAAGCTTGACATGGCAGCGAGGTCAAGCCTCAAGCCATGACGAGCCTTGGCGAACCATGAAATTTTTCAAGGCGTGACAATTTTATATACATTAAAAAAGATAAATCACAGAATTACATGATTAGATCAAATGTATCATGTTTTTAGAAGTGTCATACTAACACTTAATATGAAAAAGTTAACAAAAACTCAATTGTTTTAGGGTCGATCAAAAAAAACAAAACAGCAAATAAATAAATAAAAACTCGCACCATAAGGCGCTAAGTCTCACCTTAACACGTTATTTGGCACCATGCTTAACACACCCGCCTTGGACTTTTTTGTAACGGTTACACTATGCCTCACGTCATGGCACACCTTGGCGCGTCTTTTAGAACCATGATGCTAATACAAAAATATTCTATTTTATTACTTTTTTGATGTGTCAGCATATAACCTCTTCGGTTGCTTTCATTACTGCTTCCATCAAAGATATTTTATGGTTCAAATTCTCAAGCTCTTTTTGGCTCCTATGGATGATAAAACAAACCAAATCAACATTCGTTCACCAATAATATATATGTGCACGTATGTGCAAAAATTAAATTTGTTATTGATAAAACATATAACAAATGAAATGAAGTTGGGTTTACTTCTCACCTGCATACAAGGATTTTATCCTGATCAAAAATTGTATTCCTTGTTGTTGGTTTCAGAGATTATTTGAGAAAGCTTATCTTCAAGATCTGTTTGGTTTCTTCAATTTTTTGTATTAGCATATACCATGTCCAGTTTGGGGAAAAATAAAAAATAAAAATAGGAAGAAATCCTATTTGCATTAGATATTATGTAACATTGGAGAGTGTTGATTGGTTCACGGCGATCTTTTCCCCAATGCTCCACTTTCCATGCTTAAAGACCCAAGTCTACTTGTCAAATTACTTGTTTAAAAGTGGTCTTCTTGAGAAAAATATTTAAAGCACAATGGCATAGTTGGAGAGACTTATCGAAGTGCAAAGCTCTTCCATGCATTTGACAAACCCATGTTACATATAATTTGGAGGAACAAATGTACCTAGGAGGAACAAAAGTAAATAAATTAGTATTTGAATTGATTTGATAAAAAAACAATTAACGACAACAAAGCAATGATAATGATAATTTACATATTCACATAGATACTCCAAGATACAAACCCCTACACAACTTATTTAAATGTGGGTATAGTTTTTACATAGCTATGTGAGCATATAAATGGAAGTTAGTTGCTATTTCTTACATTTAACCCTAATATTTGGAAATAATAAATATAGTTTCATTGATAAAAACAATACCTTGTCAACTTGTGCTCCATAGGTAGGCAGCCAAAAAAGCCATAAACAAAAAGTAGGTTGCCTAAAAACCATCAGATAATGTTATAATTGGTTTTTTTTCTTATTAAAGCAATTTTTTAAAAGTACAATGTTATATTTGGGTGGATTTTTCAAAGAATGCCTAATTATAGCATTGTTCTTTCAAATACAATGCTTTTATAAAAAAATGAATTTTTGCTTTTAAAAAAAATAAGAGAATGAGTAAATGAAACAAAAGATTTTTTGAAATTAGAATGATATATCATTGTTGCTATATTTTTTATGCATCTAAAGACTTGTTACTGATATATTATAGAAAACTATAAGATTGTAAGTAGTGTTTACAAGAGTAATAATTTTGGTAGGGTTCTATATGGCACCATATTTAATTAGGTTAATATTGTTATTGTAAATGCATATATCATTAGCTTGCTAAAAAATGTCGGATGTTATTCTGAAGATATGAAACTACACTATTTTCATCATTTTAATCCAATGTAAAATTACAATTAGCATTGTTTACAAAGTATTTGATGATATAAAGCTTTTTTTATTTACAATAAATGTTTCTACTATCTACCATTGGTATCTAGTTATCTAAAATTTTAATACTACTTTTTA